GTGTGTGTGTGTGTGTGTGTGTGTGTGTGTGTGTACTGTCAAATCAGATCTGACTGGTATAGGAGGAGATTATTCCTCCTTCTCCAGCAGAGCATCTGGTGGATTTGAACCGTACATCTCTGAGATTGCAGTACACCTTCTTGCCACTAGGCCACCAGAGCTTGCCTCAAAATATATTTTTAAAGCAGATTATCCTTTTAAAAGAAAATCTTCATAGAATTTTCACAAATAAATAAAAGGAATATTTCCTAAGTACATGTTTATTTTCTAAATTCCAATTTATAACATTTAGTATAAGGTAAATCTAAGCATAATAGCATAATAATTTGAATGAAAGGATCAAAAAAGTTTCAATTACATGACTGTTCTCCTTTGAACTGACTGCAGTTTGATGAAGTCATTTATATGATGCTTAGAAATAATACACTCTTGGAAAGATGGTGGGTCAGAAAAAGAGAGGAAGACTCTCAACAAGATGCACTGACACAGTGACTGTAACAATGGGCTTGAGGAGATCAGAGAGGGTGAGGACGACACAGGGTAGAGGAAAGTTCAAGTCTGTGGTTCATAAGGTCACTGTCAGTTGTCATTGACTCAATGGCATAGAACCACACTTTCCAGAAAACACAGCTGGATCACAGACAGTCTCATCCTATGAACTGTCGCTGTAAGAGGGTACCTTAAAGTAGAATTGCGTTCTTTTTATACCAAGATGGATGAAGAAGGAAAAGGTCTAGAGCTGAATTACATTATTGATGTTAGACTTTATGATCAGTCCAAATCTATACATCTCATCAGGCTGCTTTCAAGATAATTGGTCCTACGCTGTGCCCTTGTAACTACCGATTTTATATGCTCAAGAATAATGTCCTAAAGTTTCTCTGTTAAAATTCATATACTTAATTTTTAAAAATTTAATTTAATTTTATTAATTTTAATGAATATTTACAGAGATTTTGGATTTCCATTCATTCACTGTTGCACTTTTCTCCCTGCCCAGCCCTCCCCCACCCCCAGTTCACTCCTCTCTTTGAAAAGCAAAGGAAAAATTTCTTCTCTGGTATACAATCACTGCGCACCCCTCCCACTGCCCCAAGAACTCCACTATGCAACCTTAATTTTAAGCACCTTGTCTCACTATCTCACCCCAACTCTCTCACTTACTTTACCAAAGTTGGAACCTAATGTTACCTTTCACTAAGATGTAATTATAACTATTCAAATTCTTTGTCACTTTGGCCTTCAGCATGGCACCATCATGCCAGTTCTTTACCCTTAGATAACTTTTACTACTAGTTATTGTTTTTTTGGAAGGACACACATTTAGCACTCAGAATTAATACATTTAGGATAAAACTGTACTATGTGAAAATTAAACCATGCCTTCACTGCTACTCGCACATCTTTTGTCTTTTAACGATGTCCTTCCAAACACTTTGTTAGAACTATCTAAAATGTTTTCTAAGCTGCTGAAAACAAATTCTATTTTTTAATTAATCCAATTACAAGGTACTCTGCAGTTCCTGCCATCAAAGAGGGGTCATCTTCTTCACTCCTTGGATCTGGGCTTGCCCATGCCACCTGCTTTGTCCAGTACATACTTGATGCATACAGTAGCACTCATCATATTGCAACCTGCCTTCTCTTCCTTGTCATATTATGAAATTTCATCTTCAGTTTCATATTGTGATCTGTCTTCTCTTGCTATTTTTAAAGACTTATGACTGGCATCATTTGAAGAAGCAACATTCTTGGTACCAGAAACAAGGAAATCAAAAGATGAACTGCATTAGGAAAATATGCTGTCAGGGACCTCACCAGAGAACTAAAGAACAATGATGTCAATCTAGAGCCTAAGTTTCAGGCTACGATCTTCACAATTACTTGGTATGCATCAGAGAGCTAGACAATGACCAAGGATGACAGAAGATGAATTGATGCCTTTGATTTGTGGTGGTGGTGAAGAGGATTGAATATACCATGAACTGGTAGGAGATCAAACAGGTTCATCCTGGAGAGGATGAAACCAGATTGCTCCTTGGAGGCAAGGATTCTGAAGCTCCATCTGCTATACTTTAGGCATGTTGCAAGGAGAGACCAGTCCCTGGAGAGTGCTATCAAGCTTGGAAAGATGGAGGGACAGTGCAGGAGTGGAAGACCCTTGATTAGATGGAATGACTCAGTGACTGGGAGGTGATGGATGTAGAGACAATAAGGTTGGCTCGGGACAAAGCAAGGTTCAGAGCTGTTGTACATAGGGCCACCATGAGTGGCAAGCAACTCAACAGCACAGAACAATAGGGTAAAGCCTGATAGACAATGGAAAGATGTGTGGCCCAGGTGCCCACATTGACTATATGCCTAGTAGCAGACACGTGAGTAAGACCATTCCAGATCATCTCCTAGACCTGCCAGCTGACTGCAGATTTATGAGAAAACCCAACAGAAATTAGTCACAGCAGCCCACAACCTACAAACTAACCTATATACTCTGAGTTAAATAAAGTTTGCTTAAAGCTACTAAATTTTAGAGTAGGTTTATATGTAGCAAAATCTGGCAGATATGAGTAGGTTTATATGTACCAAAATCTGGGAGATATTCAGATCCTCATTTAATTTTATTTCACCTTCTTCCCTCATATAAAACAATTCTTTCTCCCATTTAATTAAAAAGAGAAAGAAGTCATGTGATACAAGCTCTCTTATGTCATTTCCGGATGTGCCATTAGTCCCTTGGGGGAGGGGGTAAGTGTTTTCCTCTTCCTTGCATTTATGGAGTAAAGAGCACGGCACACAGTAAGTGCTCAATAAATGTCTGCTAAGTGAACTGAATGCAAGATTGAAAAGTCCCCATCGTTATATTTTCTATGCTACTTAAACATCTTCTTTCTGGGTCATCACCATTTCTGAGTAAAATTGGGGGGCTGGGTGGTGAGAAACCTGAAAACACTACTAAAGAATTTAGAGTAAACATTTCATGTAAGTTAGATCGTACTAATAATCAATACAACCCACGTATGAGGGCTTGTCAGACTATCATGCTGCTTTATAATCCTTTAGTATTTATATTTCTACTTGTATTGACTGCTATCATATTCATGCATATGCTTGTTTTCTCTGCTTCGACTTTTCAGCTAACAGGGGACGTGCTTGGTGACAGATTCGGCAGCTGCAATCATCTATTTGGTGAGCAATGTCCAAATTCTGTGAAAGTCTAACATACAATGTTCTGAGCAAATATGCAGTTATACTTACCAAGACCATGCCGATGCGTGGACATAGGGGGCATCACACTCCACGTTTTTGTCTTGGGGTTGTAACATTCCACTGTGTTTAATGTCTTCAGTCCATCTCTTCCTCCAACCACGTACAGCTTGTCATCTAACACTGCAACACCAAACTGCAGCCTTCTCCCGTTCATATTCGCGACAGGAGTCCACATGTTTGTACGGAGATCATACTTTTCAATGCTTGTTGCTCCTTAACAGTAACATACAGAATTATGTAAATAAATGTATCACCAAGACTCACTTATGAAGCTGTACATACACAAATAAGATTTTACTAACCCTGACAATAATACTTTTATTATAGGCCTACAAGTTGTTGTTTTAACCTTGTACAAGTCTTTCACTTTGTCTCGTAGTACTCTCCCAGGCATTCATCACAGTCCAAAATTTAAGGGTCATGTGAGTAAGGAACAGATATCAAGAGTCTAAGAACCCACATCCAGAAGTGAGAGAGGGTAAAGCAGCATTGTAGAAACCAAAAGGAAGCTTTAAGAAGGCCTGACTATTGGTAACTAACTCTGATATATGACATGAGGAAGACTAAAAGGTATTGCTGGATTTGGCTACATGAAGTCACTGATAACAACAGTGAGTATATCCTTATTGTTGGGGACATCGGTGATGTAATGGCCAAATTCTCAACTTTCATGCAAAAACCCAGGCTTTGATTCCTCACCCATGCACTGATGTACAGTCACCATATGCAGATCAGTGGGGGCTTGGATGTACACTGCTAGATGTAAGGGAGCTTCCACACTAGATGGAAAAACCTGGTGATCTTCTGAAAAAATGAGCCAATGCAAATACCAGGGATCGCAAGTGATCTGTCACAGAGCATGGGGAAGGCACATGACCAGTCAATATTTCATTCTATTGTGCATTGGGTTACTGTGGGTTGAGGGCTGACTTGATGGCATCTAACAACAGCAACATTCTTATTGGGTGGTTGAGACATTATTGGAAGGTGAGGAAACAGTGAGTGCTGATGATTCTTCTAATGCATTTGGTTATGAAAGGGCTGAGAAAGATGTAAATTATTTTTTTAAAAAGTGAGTTAAAGTAGGCTTTTGCTTTGTTTTGCTTTTACAATTGAAAAGACCTATGTTTCTTTTTTAAAAGGCTCATAGCATGATGCTCTAGTGGGAGCTGGAAAATGAGGTTTCTACATCACAAGAGTGGGGCTGGTTTTTACAGGCGCAGGAAGAGAATACACATTCTCTTGCAACAAGAAAGAATAAAAGGTATGTGCATGGATTTCGAGAACCGTGAGCATGGGCAATTTAAAAATTACTGCTTCATGGACACTACATTTGTTTTTAAATTGGGAGATTTCAGTAACTATTTTACATTCTTACTGAGATGAGTACAGATGAATTTGAAACAACAGTAATAAAAAATACTGCTTCTTAATTACAAAGAATACACTTAGGTTTTAGATCTCTTCTAAACTTCTAGTGACATGCAAGTAATATAACATACAATCAATGATATCCTTATAGAATTATTTTTTTGGGCCAGGATCCCAAAGGTATATTTATTTATTTTAAAATATTTTTTATTGGCTTCCATATAATTTCTTTACATTATGTACATTCATATACATTGTGTTTTATATGATCTTCCATTTACACTGTGTTTAATAGAGTTACTTTTATGTGATAAAGATCACAACAAATATTCATTAAAAAACAGTATTACAACTGACCATTTACTAAATTTAAAAATACCTATTCAATCTGTGAGAACCACCAGATGTGCAGGCTGGGTTTAGAAGAGGCCATGGCACTCGGGACATTATAACCAATGTTAGATGGATCTTAGCTGAAAGTAGAGAGTACCAGAGGAAAGTCTATCTGTGTTTCATTGATTATGCAAAGGCATTTGACTATGTAGTTCACAACAAATTGTGTCTAACCTTGAGAAGAATGGGGATCTCAGAATACTTGATTGTGCTCATGTAAAGCCTATACTTGGACCAGGAGGCAATCATCAGAACAAAGAATAAATGCATGTTTCAAAATCAGAAAAGGAGTGTGTAAGGGATGCATCCTGTCTCCATACCTTTTCAATCTATATGCAGAACAGATCATTTGGGAAGCTGGACTTTATAAGGAAGAAAGTGGCATTAGGATTGGATAGCAACTTACATATGAAGATGGCACAACATTGCTTGCAGAAAGTGAAGGAAGACTTGAAGCACTTACTGAAGTAGATCAAAGACTATGGCCTTCAAGATGGATCACATCTCAACATCTAAAGACAAGAACTGATGCCTGCCATTGGATCAACAGGCAACATGATGACAGATGGAAAAAAGACTGAAGTTGTCAATGACTTCATTTTACTTGTTTCCACAATCAATACCCAATGTCGAGGGAGGGAGGGAGGAAGAAAAGAAAAGAGGATGGAAAGAAGGACAGAGGGAGAAAGGGAGGGAGATATGGAGGGACAGAGGGAGGGAGGAAAAAGACTGACATGCTTCATTGGGAAAACATTGTTAAGGTCCTATCCAAAGTTCTAAAAGGCAAAAATAATACTTAATGACTAAGATGTGCCTGATCCAAACATGGTATTTTAATTCCTTCATATGTATCTACATGTTGGATAATAAAGGAGACAGAATAATAATCAATGCCTTTGAATTGTGGTGTTGTCATACGATCAAATATTCATTCCATGAACTGTGAAAAGAACAAAGAAATCTGTCTTGAAGGAGGGGCAACCAGAGTGTTCCTTAGGAGTAAGGATGTTGAAACTTTGTCTCATATGCGTTGAGTGTATTATCAGGAGTTGTTGGAAAAAAGATACCAAGCCGGGAAAGGGAGAGAGTCAGTGAAAGACAGGAAGACCGTCAATGAGATAGACTTGCACAGTGCCTTTAATAGCGGGCTTGAGTGTATCAGAATGTTGAGAATGATGCAGGATGGGGCAAGGTTTAGATCCCTTGGGCAGAGGGTTGTTATGAGTCATAGTCAACTCAATGGCACTGGGCAACAACATACCTTACAAAATTTTAAGTTATTTGAGGAGCAATATCTTAGTTAACCTAGTTCTGTTGTAAAAGAAGTACTTTAGGCAGCTGGCTTTAACAAAGAAGAAATGGATCTTCTCACAGTTGAAGAGGCTACAAGTTCAAGGTACTAGCTCTAGGGCAAGGCTTTATTTTTCTTGTTGGCTTTGAGGAAGGATCTCAATTACCTTTTCTCCCCCCTTGATGTGTACCATCGAATTTGATCCGACTGGCACAGCAGAAGACTGCTCCTCCTTCTCCAGCGGATCATCTGGTGGATTTGAACTGTGCACCTTCATGATTGCAGCGCAGTTTCTTCTGATTACCTTTTAGCATTTGCTGATCCAGCGTTCCCTGGCAATCTCCATGTGTTTTGGTATCAGTTTTCCCCTAGGTCTAAGAAGTTTTCAGTCCAAACACATGCTCTGTTCCTTGCTCATCTTTCTTGGTGGTACTGAGGTCCTTTTTTCTCTGCTCAATCCTGTCTTTTTATTATCCTAACTAAGGTAAAAGATGATGAAGGCCCCATTCCAGGAAAACAGTCCTTATGCCTGATCAGGGCTGTGACCTGAAGAAAGGGGCTGTTCTACCCTAAGACAACTCACTGACCACCTTGTGGTTATCAATAACTACCAAAACACAATATTACATAACTGTCAAGCCACTAAGACTCATGGCCCAGGCAAAGTGACACATTTTTTTTTTGGGGGGGTGGTAGATACCTTTCTCCACTTAAATATTCTCCATAGTACAAAATACAGTGTCTTTCTTGTAAATAGTAACTGTCCAAAAACATTTGTAATGTGTATAGTCTTTCAGATTTTTTTTACACATGATCAGATTTTACACATGATCAGATGATTTTACGTAATATGTACCTGATGACTCTAAACTTGATCTTAAAAGCATGCTGCCTATCTACTGTCATCAAGTCCATTCAGATACATAGCTACCCGACTGCGAGGAAGGTGCAGGCTTGGGCAGGGTTCATTCTGCTGCATAGGGTCACTGGGGTCAGTAGGAGTGGCACCTGACTCCACAGCAATTAACAACAACAGACTGACTCATCTTGCTCTCATGGAACAGCTAGTTGGTTTGAAGTGTCAACTTCTAGTTAGGAGACAAATCTTTAAACCCGACATTTCTAGAACTGAGGAGCATTTATTAAAGAAGAGGGGAGCTCTGCTGGTTTAGTAGTAAGGAATGGTTCTGTCAATGCAACGGTACACCTTTGATTGTAAAATCCTACATAACACGGGAGAATCTAGAGAGCGTCATGCTGAGTTAACTAACTCAGACTCACAAGGACAAATACTGCATAAGATCATTATTGCAAAAATAGAACGACAACTAGTGAGATGTGTATAAAAGAGGAAAAGGAGGGGAGCAGGGGAGCCAACTTTGGGGAGGGGAGAAATCACTGAGATGGCAGAGTTTGGTGAGCTGAGGGAGGAAGGGAAGGAATTAAGCAAGATCCAGTGGGGACCTGAAAAGATGGGGTAACAGTAGGCAGAGATGAAAGGTGATTAATCTTCTAAAACACTATGCATATGAATGATCATATTAAATACAATGTGAATGAAGGAATGTGTAAGAAACAATGTATATGAATGAAACACAATGTATACAAATTTTGTATGCAAACCTATATATATAAAGATAAGTGTATGAATACACCAGATGCTCCAGAGGAGAAAGCTAGGAATCTCCTCTTGTGTAATTTACCATCTCTGAAAACCCACCGCAGGGTCAGCTATGAGTCGGTTCTGATTCGTCACTACCAACCACCACCACAACAGCAATCATGTCTCCTTGAATGCACTTAGAGAATATATATATGTTGTTGTTGTTGTT